TCAGAGCGGCTCACAAACTCCTTTCCCTTCCCCTCCCCACAACAGGCACCCTGTGAGGTAGGTGGGGCTGAGAGAGCTCTTTTTCAAGGACAGCTCTGACAGAACGATGGCTTGCCCAAGGTCATCCAGCAGGTGCAAGTGGAGGAGTGGGAAATCAAACCCGGTTCTCCCAGATTAGAGTCCGCGCACTTAACCACTACACCAAGAGGAGGAGGAGGAGGAGGAGGAGGACGAGGAGACTGGATTTATACCCTGCCCTTTGCTACCCGAAGGAGTCTCAGAGCGGCTCACAAACTCCTTTCCCTTCCCCTCCCCACAACAGACACCCTGTGAGGAGGAGGAGGAGGAGGAGGAGAAGAAGAACAAGAACAAGAAGAGGAGGAGGAGGAGGAGACTGGATTTATACCCTGTCCTTCGCAACCTGATGGAGTTTCAGAGCGACTTAAAATCTCCTTCCCCTTCCCCTCCCCACAACAGACACTCTGTGAGGTGCGTGGGGCTGAGAGAGCTCTTTCAAGTGAGAGAACAGCTCTGAGAGAACTTGTGACTGACCCAAGGTCACACCAGGAGCTGCATGGAGTCAGCGAAAGGCATCAGCGGGCACCATGATGTACACAGGCACTACGTTGGGGTCAAGAGGAAAGGGTTCAGGCTATAACGTATTTTAAAGAGCAAGAGTCCAGTAGCACATTAAAAAGGTAAAGGTAAAGGTTCCCTTGCTTGAAAGCCAGTCGAGTCCGACTCTAGGGTTGCGGTGCTCATCTCCGTTTCAAAGCCGAAGAGCCAGTGCTGTCCGAAGACGTTCCCATGGTCATGTGGCCGGCATGACTAAACACCCAGGCGCACGGAACGCTGTTCCCTTCCCACCGAAGTGGTACCTATTTATCTACTTGCAATTTCTTGCTTTCGAACTGCTAGGTTGGCAGGAGCTGGAACTAGAGACGGGAGCTCACTCCGTCATGCGGCACACTCGGGTCTCGAACTGCTGAACTACTGACCTTCCACAGCCTGCAGTTCAGCGTCTTAACCACTTGAGCCACCGCAGCTCCATAAAGACTAGCAAAATTTGGGGCAGGGTAGGCGTTTTCGCGAGTCACTGGTCACTCCTTCCGATTGAAGGAGCGAGCAGTGACTCACGAAAGCTCATCCCCTGCCATGAATTTTGTTCATCTTTCAGGTCCTGCTGGACTCTTGCTCTTTTCTGCCGCCACAGACAACTAATACGGCTACCCATCTTGATCTGTTGCAGACCAGATCAGATATTTTAAAGAGTCTGTTTTAGAAACCAACAGTATGACGGACCCCTTGCTTGTTCAGTTCTGTGAAGCAGATTTTTTTCTTGCCGAAATACTGTTCGCCGCTCTGACCGAGCAGCCCCCTTGTAACGTGTGTTAATACACAAATTATTTTCTGTGTGTCCCACCTTGTGATAGCAGAGTTCATTGGCTTCCGCCCAGGCCGGAGATGTACTGTAGAAAAGCAGGATTCCCCATAATATTCCCTTTTGTAAATGGCAGTTGACATGAAGTAAACATCAAACAGGACTGCTGATTTTATTAAACAGGCACGGTTAGGGGTAGGCAGGGGACGAGGAAACTGAGGGAAATTTTGAAGTATTTACAGAACATAATATTTTGAACTCGCAACAGAGTATTGCTGAAGCTTATTTTCTAAGAAAGTCATTTCCTAACAGTGAAAGGTTTGTTTGTCTTGGAGATTTCTTAACAGTGACAAGGTATCTTGAGAAAAGATTCATGTAACTGCCGGTTTCCTACTTCTTGTACTTAAATCCCTCCCTTGGGAAATTACAGAGTTCCTTTTGACTCGTCTAAGACGCAGCGGTCATTTCCTACAGGAGCGGAGCTCTGGGAGTAAAGCGCCCAGGGGGCGGGCACATGCAACAAGCCCCACCCCCTGCTCCCAGCAGCCCTGGGCCATGAGGAGCAAGAAGCAGCCAGGTAAGTTGCAGAGCTCCCCTGGCCCAAAACAGTCCAGTGGCACCTTTAAGACCAAGTCTTATTCAGGTACAAGCTCTCCCTCCTCTGTGAGGACAGATCTGCACGTTCCCACCCCCCATAGCTAGCAATCCAAAACAGTCCAGTGGCACCTTTAAGACCAAGTTTTTATTCAGGTACAAGCTCTCCCTCCTCTTTGAGGACAGATCTGCACGTCCCCCCCCCCATAGCTAGCAATCCAAAACAGTCCAGTGGCACCTTTAAGACCAAGTCTTATTCAGGTACAAGCTCTCCCTCCTCTGTGAGGACAGATCTGCACGTCACCCACCCCCCCATAGCTAGCAATGCAAAACAGTCCAGTGGCACCTTTAAGACTAAGTTTTATTCAGGTACAAGCTCTCCCTCCTCTGTGAGGACAGATCTGCACGTTCCCCCCCCCCCCCGCCCCAAAACCAAAAACGACCCC